TGTTTCAGATTCAAATGGAGAGGCTTCTCCAAAGCATATGCAATGAGTTGTTCAATAGCAGGCTAACTGGGGGTGTGAGTTCACAGGCTTGGTAGCGGTCCACTATGGAAATAAAGCAGTTCTCCTGAGGTTAAACATACTGAGTATTAAAGGACGGGAGTAATAAACAAGGTGTTTGATATTCTGTACAGTTTCTCCCTAGTCTTGATGTGCATAATTGGGTGCTGGATAAATGATAGAAGTAGAAAAAAGTGTCCAGTGTGAAAGCACTCATTTACATTCAACTATACTCTCTAGTGCAAAGCAAACGATGCACAAGCAGGGCTAGCTGTTGTCCACCAGCTAAACAAAAGCAACTCCAACCAAAAAGAGTTGTAGTTGGAAATAAATAGCCTGAGCTGGAGCAGATTATCAAGCTAGCTTGTGGGGGGTTTTAATAAGCCTTCCTCCAGTAATTTCTTTGAGTTAAAAAATGTGAAAATACATCCAGAAGGTCTGTGTGTACAGGCTGGACCTCCCTAGTCCGACACCCCTGGGACCTGACTGGTCCTGAATGAGGGTGTTTGCTGGACCAGGGAGGTCAATTCTGGACCTCTGCTGCTAGTCTCCAGGCTCTTCTGGGGACCATCAGCCTCCAGGTTGCTGGGCTTCCCTCGTGGCCACACTGCTGGCCCTGCTGCTGGCTGCCAGCCACTCTGCCACTGGACTCCTGGCTGACCACCACTCCCAGCCTCTGGGGTTATCTGGTCCAGCAACATCTGGATGTTGCCAGTCCAGAGAGGTCCTAGGTGTGGTACAGCCAATTTCTCGTGCAATATAAGCAGTCAGGGATAGTTCAGTGGTTTGAGCATTGGCCTGCTAAACCCAGGGTTGTTAGGTCAATCCTTGAAGGAGCCATTTAGGGAGCTGGGGCAAATCTGTCAGGGATGGTATCTGGTCCTACCACAAGAGCAGGGGACTAGACTCAATGACCTCTCAAAGTCCCTTCCAGCTCTGAGAGATAGGTATATCTCTCTCTCTCTCTATATATATATATATATAAGGTTAGCATTACAATTCAGCCACGCTGCTATGTCCTTGAGAATACCACATCCTTGGTCTAAAACAGCCAGGCTGTAGGCAGCTGATATAGCGAGTTGCTAAAATATTTTGTGATTTGTTACAGTAGGGCTTTATTGTTCCAATATTTCCATGGCAAAGCTATTGTCATTTGTAGCATGTAGGAGCTCCTAGGTTTTCAGGATTAGAGCAGCTGTACCAGCATGGAACTAATAATTGTCCGTTGTTAACTGTGGAATATAGTTGTGACCATAATTGCAGGTCCTCAGAGGTGTTCCCGTCTTGAGGATATATGCAACGTAAGGGCCATCCACACACAGTTTTTGCATCACTGGGAGAAATCTATCCTTGGTGCAAATTGAACTCCAGCTCTTTTGTCTCTTCGGTAACCCTGCTCTTTCAGATAAAGGAAATAATTGTTTCTCTGATAGGCTTCAAAACAAGGAGCAAAAATGATGTAATTTTTGTTAGCTGAACATATGTGGCAACTTTCTTCCATAAAGAACTGGAGCTACTGTGATTTCACTACTTGGTCTCTTGCTTGCCGATCCTAAGCACGTGTACCATATGTGGATATAGTGATACTTCACAAATCTATGATGGAGTAAGTATAATTTTGGCATAAATGGAGTTGCCCAGTGGGATTAATTTCAGAGCAATTAGATTACAATTGAAAATATTTGTAGAAGAACGCTCGTGCCTATTAAAACAATAGCAATTGGGCTTGAAGTGTTATGCTCAGGCAATACAATTAACTTTAACGGTTCATAGTTGTGTGATGTTTACTGAATGTTTTAATTGGGTTTGCATGTTGGTACAGAATATTGTGATGGATATGATATATCCATTACGTTTATTTCTATTTTATTTTTAGTTCTGCAAAGGTTAAAATACAAAAGGCTTTGGTATTATTTTTATTCACTGAGCAATTGCCAGCTGCACTTCTGTTGCACATCAGATTGCCTTATTCTGTTTAATGGCTGCCTAATTTCCTGGTTAGAAATTATCAGGTCTCGTACATGTGAACTGTCCTATCTGACTGAGGTGGTCACTAAATTGTTTTAGTGATATACCTCACTTTTCCTTTCTATACCCCCAAACTCTCTTGTCCAGTTTACTTGATTACATTACATTTTACATTACAATTTACTTCATTACATTGCATTTTTCTCCCCATCTTCCCAGCTTATTAATGTTGCTAAGTATCATTCAACTGGAAAGACTATTTGGCCTGCCAAAGAGAAAAATACGTTGCACTCTTAGTACATAAAAAAATCTATGGACAACTTACGCTTGAGAATTAAATTTACTTGACTTTTAATCAAATAATTTTCTGTCCCCTTCTTTATTCATCTCAGTCAACTATCCTTGACTTCTTTTTAAGACAGTCTTTGTTGTCATAGCTACTGTCAGTTGTATAGGACTTGGCCTCCCATACTTTCATGCACGCTGATGTGATGATGAAGTACATGTTGATCAAGACTTACTATTGTCTCCTGGCTGTTTCAATGTGGACTTGCTGAATGCTCCCATCCTTAAAGGCAGAGATGTGGTATAAATTAATCATGTCACTTGAGATTACATTTAAAAAAAATTGATTAGTAATGTAACAAACTACCTAATCTACAGGTAGTTTAATTGCCTCTCAAGAGATGCTGAAAAACCGTTGCTTTATCATAAAACAGTACAATTATTGCTCTATTTTCCTCAAGAATATGCAAGTTGCTGTGGCGTAAATAACAACTGTTAGGTGTGATGATTCCCAGATTAAAAAAAAAAAAAAAAAGAGTGTGGTCAAAGGCCGAATAAAGCTTCCCCAAATCCCAGAGATGAAGATGAAATGTGTTCGTGCGAAGGGGGAGGGGGAAATCTAGTATTCTGTGTTGCAGTTTTCCTAACAATTCCAGCACATTTTCAGTTTTAGTATTGGAGTGGTCCAGTCATGTTTGAAGTCACTCATGGTTCCTGCTCCTCCCTCCCAGCAACAACCATTAGTGATGTGATTGGTGTATGTTGCTCAAAATAGTCCTGGATACACTTGAATCTTTACTGACATTACAGCTGCAAATAGCTTGTTGGAATAGCAGGAATTCCCATTGACTTTCCCCATTCCACTTCTAGTTGGAGGGCAGGGAGGGGGTCTTGAAACAGTTTCCAAAATCTGTTTTATATATAAACTAGATTTATCCGGTGTTGCTTGGGTCCGTCAGGGGAAGGGTTTGGGGATGTGGGAGGCTACGGGCAGAGGTTGAGGGTATGAGGGGGTGCAGGAGACAGGGCAGAGGTTGAGGGCTCAGGGCAGGGTGCTAGGAAGTCAGAAGAGTTTACCAGGGCCACCTGTGGGCAGCACATCGCAGGATGCCAGGGCTGGGTACTGTGCTTCCTGCCCCTCCACTCCTCTGTGCTTCTATGCGGATATTGTATGCCTCAGGGGCTTGCTATGACCCTCCACACAGCCTCTTGCCCCTTAGCAGAGGCAAGGGTCACTGCCTACTGAGCCATCCTCATCATAACAAGTCTGAAAATTGGGGTGAAGCCCCTCTGTAGTCCTGGTTTGACCCCCCCCCCCGGGGCGGACTCTGTAGTAATGTGGGAAGGGCTGGGGAGATGCTGGGCCTGTTCACTACTCTAGGTTCCGGCCCAGAGACCCTGAGTGAGTGGCATCTGGCAGTGCTTCCTCCACTCCCAGTCTTGCAGCCTTTCCCTGGGCCACTTCCCCAAAAGCTCCCCCCAATACCTTCTTCCTAGCAAGTCTCTCCTTCCCTCCTTGCAAGCCTCAGCTCTCTGGCAGCACACCTCTTTCTTACTCTCAGCCCTCAGCTTTTCGTCTGCTCCTGCCTTTCCTGAAGGGAAGCCCTTTTAAACTAGCCCCAGCCAGCCCTAAAGGACAGCAGGTGCCCTGATCAGCCTGCTGCTTCCAGCAAGTTCTTAATTGGCCCCAGGTGCCTGCCTGCCTTGATTATGTGACCAGTTCACTCAGGGACCAGAAAACTATTTACCGAGTTCCCTGTATATTTGCCCTTCCACAAACTATTGTAGCCATCTTCCCTGGGTCTGTCAATACATACACAGATATATTTCAGAAATAAGCCTTTCCATTTCCTTTCTTTTTCCTCCTCCTTCTGTGTATTTTACTATAACAGTATTAGAAATTGGCTTTTTAGCTAATGCAAATTTGACTGCCCTAAAAATTTGGCTCAAATTTTCATACCACTTAAAGAGGCAATCCTAGGATTGCTGTATGTTTGGAAGAACTTTGCCTTGTCACAGATTTGGTTTGCCTCCCGAGTGTCAAGAGCTGCCCAAGTGGCTGCAGGAAATGTCTGGCCTAAGTTAGTTAATATGTGCTGATATTTTACTCCCTATAGCTTTGTTCTATTGTCTGTGCTATCCGTTCATTTCTCCATTTCACTCTCTCGTGGAGCTCTCGTACTCCTGTGGTTTCCAGGGAACTAAGAGGTGGACAGCCTGCCATCCCCTTGTTTTTTTAGGAACCAGTCTGTATCACAGTGCTTGGGTCCTGGCTGAGATGAAGACCTGGGCTCCTAGAGTTAATCTCCTTGTGTTCCCTTCCCTCTTTCCACCACTTTGGCCAGGGGTTCATTTAAAAATACTTCGCTCTATGCGGGCTGGATGATTTTAGCAGATTTTTAGCTTCTAGGAGAAAGAGAATTTGCCTGCTCCTGTGTCTACCTCTTTCTTTGGGGAATCACATTTTTTTCAGCTAGATGAAATTATCCTTCAGCTCTTTTCATACAGCCTTGCCAATGCAGACAGCAGACGGGGGCAGTCCTTAATTTTAGAAAAGCAACTGCCCCTTTTCCGCTGGCACCACCCACAAAGCGCTCCCAGTTATTCTACCGTAGTGGTGTTCAGTTGCATTAAATGGTGTCACATCTTCCCCGGGATCCCCCTTTCAAAGGGCCAGTGAACAACTCTAGATGGGTACTGAAAACAAAAGTGTTGCCCAAGGTACTGTAGTCACAAGTGACAGATGCCACGGAAACTAAGCCACACTCGTGCAGTGATACTCTCTTAATACTCACATGGGAACTGTTTGCTTCAGCATGGAGGCCCACCAAAGTTTGTTCTTGATCTACTATATATTCCAAATCAGGGGTGGAGAACCTGAGGCCCAGGGGCTGGATGTGACTCCTAGCTTGTCTGGATCTGGACCTCGAGACTCGAGGCTCCCCCCTCTAGCACTGAGGACCCCGCGCTGATGCTCCAGTCCCACCGCTGCCCCACAATGGGGCTGGAACACACAAAATCTACTAGCCTGGGCCCCCGGGCTCTGGTGTGCGAGGGGAATGTGGGGCGTGTCTTTCTCCTCAGTCGGGGGCCACTTCCGTGAGGGTTTTGCTTCTCACTTATGTGCATTCCCCGACTGATCTTTTCTGTGGGTCAGAGGCCTCCAACCCCCCAGAAAGGTTCCTCCCCCCCTTAAAAATTAAATTAATGGAAATTGCCTATCTCCTAGAACTGGATGAGACCTTGAAAGGTCATTGAGTCCAGTTCTCTGCCTTCACAGCAGGGCCAAGTACCATCCCTGACAAATTTTTGCCCCAAATGTCATCCATAAGGATTGAACTCACAGCACTGGGTTTAGCAGGCCAATGCTCAAACCACTGAACTATCCCTCTCCTTCCTCTTGTAAATGAATCCTGTTGACACAATTTAAATGTTCAGCCACACATGTAATGTCTTTCCCCTTGCTTTTTAAGGTGATGGACAGAACTTGGTTACTGAAGACGTGACGGTCGTGGAGGGAGATGTTGCCACCATCAGTTGTCGAGTCAAAAACAGCGATGACTCAGTGATTCAGCTACTGAATCCCAACAGACAGACGATTTATTTCAGAGACTTCAGGCGTAAGTTTCCATCCCTGTGCTATTTGGTAGCAGCTGGGCCCTCATCCTCCTTGCACTCTGGATATTGCTAAAGCCTTTCTTTTAATTTAATGTTAGGCACTTAAAGTTTAGTTGATTCTTCAGAGCGTAGATGACAGGCAATCATAATCTTTTCTCCTTAATGGAAACCTTGATGGTCCCTTTTAAAAGTCAGACTGTTTTACCTTGCAATAGGAATTGATTGTAGTAATTCAGGGTGAATTGCAACGGAGCGCCAAATATTTAACTGACACAAACAAATTGAATAGAGTAATGCAGGAGAGTACAATGTTCTGAGAAGTAATATGTTTGGTCTGAAGATTGACATGTTCAAGATAATCTGTCCCCCTTTCAAGCCAAAACAGAAGCTGTCGCCATGGTGCCCAGGGCAGGAGGATGGCTTTATTTCCCATTTAGACAAAACTGTGAGGATAACAATTGAAATGAGACAATTTAAATTATTCACTCTAATGGCTGCTGTCGGAATTGGACAAGATGGGCCAGAAGTCCTTGGTCTCATTGTGTAAACCCAACAGAAAGAGGGTCTCTTCTCCAAAATTGCTTATAATCCAAGTAACTAATTGGGTGGAACAAACTCAAAGGACACTGATTTACTGGTATTGCAGTAGCATTTGGGCTTCATTTTGTCAGGCTTACGCAGACCCTGCCCCACAATTGGCACTCAAGAAAGACCTTCAGTGAGTCTTTGTTGAAATATTTGTCAGTGCTGTCAAAATTCCCAAAGGGATTTTCACAGTAATTGCTTGTGTAAAGGAGCCGAAATCTTAAATTCTTTGCCCTGATTCTTATCTCTGCTTCATGCTGGTCCTAATCCACTCATGTTATCAATCCTGCAGTCTGCTTTAAGTCACAATGTCCCTCCTTTCCCTCCCCCCCCCCCCCTTGTTTTTATGACAGCCTGCTTACCAAAAACATCCCTGCATCTTCTGAAAATAAAAGCCAGGCACATGGAAAATTCGTTTGCATTGATTATTTATATTGATGTGAGCACATGAGCATTGCTTAAACCCAAATTGAAATGGAAAGAGCTGGAATAATGTGGAACACATAGGAGTTTTATTTAGGCACTAAAAAAATAATAATGAAAAAGTAGTCAGACATTACTCTTTCAGGCTTCTGGCTTGGCCATGTTTTTGTAGGAGGAAATGTACTATTTGTCTTGTTCATCGCAATCACTAATGATCTGTTTGTTCCACAGCTTTGAAGGACAGCAGGTTTCAGTTAGTGAATTTCTCTAACAGTGAACTCAGAGTGTCGTTGACAAATGTCTCCGTTTCTGATGAAGGAAGATACTTCTGCCAACTTTACACGGATCCCCCGCAGGAAATTTATACCACTATTACTGTGCTTGGTAAGTGGTAGGCATTAAACTTGGAACTCTCCATGTAAAGTTGGAGGGTGGTGGAAGGAAGGTGTGGGGGAAGGGAATCAGCACATGTTCTTAAAACTTGATTCATAGAGCCACACCCATTCTGAGATATTAGTACATCTCAACTTTTTTTTGTTTTAATGACAAAGAGCTTTTTCTCTAGAGACAAGCTGCCTTTCTGGATCTATTGAGTCTGGAACTTGAAACTTCAATCGCAAGATTCTGAAGGTGATGAGCAAAGATCAGTCTAAATTTTCAAGTCAGCCATTTGCCGCATGGAACATCGTAGCCTTCAGCTAGTAGTTGTGTTAGCTAAGGGTGTGTCTAGACTACAGATCTGAGGAAGTGGGTCTGGCCCACGAAAGCTCATCATCTAATAAACCATCTTGTTAGTCTTTAAAGTGCTACATAGTCCTGCATTTTGCTCTAGACTACAGGGTTGTGTCGACAAAACTATACCTGTGTCTACACTGCCGCCAAGTTCTGTCGACGGCGATAAACCTCATTCTACGAGGAATAACGCCTTTTGTCGACAGAGTTCTGTCGACAGAAGGCATTATTGCATCTACACTGTCCTTTGCATCTACACTCTCATGTCTACAAAGTGGCTTGCTTTGTCAACAGAACTGGATGTAGTCTAGACGCCTCTGTCGACAAAAACCTGTAGTCTAGACGTACTTTCAGTGTGGAAGAGAATAGCTCTGCATCTTTACCCAATAGCATTTCTTAGTAATCACTCTCCATGTTTGTTTTTTCTAAGTAATACACTGCTGGTAGTAGAGATGCTGGGCGTGTTGTTTTTTCTGCAGCATTTCAGGCTAGTGAAAAAAGTACAGCGTTAGGAGCCAGATGCTCTGAAATTAAGCCCAGCTGTGCCAGTTTCTGACTCACTTGGACAAGTCACTTGCGTTTCCTTGGCCAGTGTCTCCATTTGGGAAATGTGGGATAATGCCTGCCTTACAGGGGCTGCATGAGGATGCACTGGCTGAGTGCAAGCATATGAATTCCTAATATGACATTTTGGCGCATGTCATAGATTCTTTCCATTCAGTGAGGAGAAAAAGGGAAGGAATAAGACTTAGTATATTAGGGTATGTCTACACTACCACCCTAGTTCGAACTAGGGTGGTAATGTAGGCAACCGGAGTTGCAAATGAAGCCCGGGATTTAAATATCCTGGGCTTCATTTGCATCTTGCCGGGCGCCGCCATTTTTAAAGCCCCGGTAGTTCGGACTCCCTGCCCGTGGCTACACGCGGCACGGAGTAGGTAGTTCGGACTAGGCTTCCTAGGTTTCACGAGGAGTAACAGTAGTTTGGAATAGGAAGCCTAGTCCGAACTACCTAGTCCATGTCGCGTGTAGCCGCGCGGCACAGAGTCCGCACTAGCGGACATTTAAAAATGGCAGGACCCGGCACTATGCAAATGAAGCCCGGGATTTGAATTTCCCGGGCTTCATTTGCAACTCCGGTTGCCTACATTACCACCCTAGTTCGAACTAGGGTGGTAGTGTAGACATATTATTTATCTAACTTAGTGCAGCAATGGGCAACCTAGACTGAGTGGGCCCCAAGATGGTCATAACCAGGGCTCGACAAATCCGCTTATCTACTCGCCTGTGGCGAGTAGATTTCAGCCGGTCTCCCCATTCACCGGCGGTTTGCGCATGCACAGTGCGGTTCTCGCACATGCGCAGTGCAGGGCTGGCGAGTGGTTTTTGCCGCGATCGTCGAGTCCTGGTCATCACCAAGATATTCTCCCGGAATAGGGATAGTTTTGCTATGTGCGCTTGCATAGCTAGAATTTGGGGGGGTGCCGACTGAACCAGGGTGTGCCGATTGGATGCAGAGGGAGGCCACCCAAGCTCTTACAGTCCAATGTTGTGTGCAGTCAGCATGCACCTCACTTTTGTGTGCCCTGGCTTTACATGCATGAGGAAGGAAACCAGCAGAAAGTGTAACCCTGTGTATGGGCAGTGGTAAACAACATGTCTGACTAGCCACACATAGAACCCCAAAGGACCACATGCAGGCCGCAGGTTGCCCACCATTAACGTAAGGTGTAATTATGGTTCTCCTCAGTGGCCATTTTGGGACTCTTGTCTGCCTACCAGAGGTGCTTACTAGCTCCTGATCTTTGTTGTTGGGACCGCCAGGGAGGCAGACCGATCCTCTATTTGTTCTTCATCTACTGCTTCAGCTGCAGGAGGGAAACCTTTGAGGAGCAAAAGGTCAAAGCAGAAAGAAGGATACGCTACAGCGTCTCCTTGTCTTTCCCAGATAAAGATGTTAAGCCTCTTCCAACTTCCCTGCTCCTTGACTTCAGTTTCAGGAGCGAACAAAACATGTGGTGGATTCATTGCGTATTCCCCGGGAGCAGGTTTGAGAGTCACAGCACAAAAGCACTTGGACATTTTGCAAATGATACTTTCTGCTCAAGCAGCCTTGCCCATAAATGAAGTCCATCTGAATCCTGCCAAGATCATCTGGCAGACCCCGGCAATGGCATTGCTCATGTGCATACGCTCTGATAAGAAGTATTTTGTCACAGCCAAGAACTGGGAATATTTATTTTTGCATCCGGTCCCTAATTCCCTGGCTGTTGAATTGCTGAACGTGGCAGACAGCTCCACTCTAAATGAACCGCATATGGCAGGGACCAAAAACACCGTGACCTGTTTGGCTGTAAGAGTCATTTGTCTGCCACTATAGAGTTTAGAATTGCAAATTACCAAGTTCTTTGGGCAAAATAGTCACACCAGTTATTTCAAATGCACCACACTTGTTGAACACCTTCCCGCAGAACATCTCAAGCAGTTCCATGCTGCTATGGCTGATGGTCAGCTACTGGCTAGAACATCATTATAAGCCTCCCTCGATGGAGTTGACACTATAGCTCACTCCATCGCCGCACCAGTCACTGTATGCCGAGCATCCTTGCTCCAGTTCTGAGTTACCTAGAGAGGTTCACGATACTGTTGAGCACTGCCCTGTGGATGGACTGAAACTCTTTTTGCTGAGATCACAGGTGAATCACCGCTCAGTTTAATGAATTACAGGGCCACCTTGCCACCTCCTAGAGCAGTGTTTCTTAAACTGTGTTCCGAGGCAGTCGGAGGTGTGCCACGGAGAACAACAAAAATCAAAATGGCTGCCTTAAAAGGACAGGTGACTTTTTTTTTTTTTGCCCAATAACTTTCCCCCCGACCCTTCCCCCCCCCCAACCTTTTTTTTTCTTCTCTCAACAAAAATTGTTGGTGTTCCCCATTTTAAAAAAATATTGTTTATTGTTCCTTGGTCTTAAAAAGTTTAAGAAACACTATCCTAGAGGTTATAAGATTGTTCCCAATCAGCCGCCAGGGAAGGAATTTTACTCCCAAGAATTGTTGTGTCCTCAGAAAAGAATGAAGAATGGCGACCATTTCTAGTTCTGACTCCCAAACAACATTATGAAAATACAAAAATGTGGAACGGGACTTTTGGAGCTGTAATTCCATCATCAGTTCCAAGGGGATTTGGTTTTCAGTCCTCACCTTCAGGACCTCTTAGTTTCATGCCAAAAATGGGGTCTGACTTTTGTTTCTGGTCAATCCAGCCTTGGGTACCTGTAGTCAGCCTTTTTATTCTGTTCTGAGGGTGTTCTTGAAGGTTTGGTCACCGCCTACCTTTTGTTCGGTGGAGATGATGGTTTTTTCATACCCTGGTGATCGGCTGCTCAAGAGCCAGATGTGCAAGGTTCTCTCTGCCCTAAGCGCACCACTGTCCACACTCCACAGATTATGTCTCCAGCTCTGCATCAATACAACCACTTTGACTTCAATACAAAGGACACTGCCAAGTCAGTTAGCAAGTTTCCCAGGCAGTTCATCTCAATGGCTGACAGGTCCAAGGAAGCCACCGTCTCTATCTAGAGACTCTCCAGGTGGATATCTGGATGTATTATTTATTGTTAACTTGCCAATACACAAGTACCTCCTAAGGTGTTATCCCATTCCACTAGGTTTGTGTCTGTCCGTGGTGGTGTTTAAACATGTTTGCATTGTTGGGATGTGCAAGGCTGCAGTTTGGACTTGAATACATTCCTTTTCCAGGCATGTGAGGGGTCATTCTTCTAGGTCAGATACTGTCCTAGAGAATGTAATCTTGTCTTCAGTATGGACTCAGCTTCGAAGCTCTCTCCTGATAATGAAGAGACTGCTGGGAAGTCACCTCCCATGAAACATCCAGTAACGAGTTCTTCGAGATGTGTCCAACAGTTTTACGACATGTGTCCAGCAAAAGTGAATAAGGAAAAGTTATATACTTATTCCCACAATATAAGAACTAGTGGTCACCAAATGAAATGAATAGGCAGCAGGTTTTAAACAAACAAAAGGAAGTTTTTCTTCACTCAATACGCAGTCAACCTGTGGAACTCCTTTCCAGAGGATGTTGTGAAGACTAGGACTTTAACAGGATTCAAAAAAAGAGCTAGATAGATTCATGGAGGTTAGGGCCATTGATGGCTATTAGCCAGGATGGGTAGGAATGGTGTCCCTAGCCTCTGTTTCTCTGGAGGTGGGTGACAGGGGAGGGATCACGTGAGGATTATGTGTTGTGATCCCTCCCTTTGTGGGCAGACAGGACACTGGGATAGATGGACCTTTGGTTTGACCCAGCATGGCCTTTCTTATATTCTTATGTCCCCTATGGGTGCTCTACTGTTTGCCCTGCTTCCCTTCTGCTTTGGAGTTGCCTCGATTGCACTTTGTGATAGAGAACAAACTGAAGGTAGTTCACCCACACAGCCCTACATATAATTAATATGTGCTACAAGGACGTATAGAGTCATCTGCTGTTCGAACATTACTGCCCAAAATCTGATGAAAGGCTCAGTGTTCAGTTGAGGTACGGGGCCCTTGCCATGAGCTGGCATCTGGTCTGCCTGTGTCACAATAATAAATGAATAATTTTTTTTCTTTGCTGTCATGCTCTTTAAGGAAGGTACTATGTGCATTACACATTTGTTAAACCTCTTGACGTGCTTCAAGATGCTTATGCCGCTACATATTTTAGTTCCTAGATGTTTTTTGCAAAATCCTAAGCATAATTATAATGCAAAGTGATGGCTCTCTGTTAACTTTTGTTTAAGCTGATTTTCTAGCCACTGTTTTATTATTATGTATGGGGAACTTGAGCCCTATCATCTGACTTTTTGTGTGTCCTCATTTAGTTAGGAATTATTGTATTAGTTTTGCAGTATTAAAGTTCAATTTTTCTACTCGGAATTACATTTTCACCAAGACAAGCTACTAAACTCTCCTCTCTTCATCCCATTTCTCATGACTTGCAAGTCTATGATCCAGATGCAGCTATGAGGTTAATGTAGTTACTGATAATAGGAGCTAATACCATTACAGCCATGTCTAAAGATTAGTGTTGGCTTTTAAGCTCCCGTTAATAAGAATTCCTGAATCATGTTGGAAGATTGTAATGTAAGATCTCACTTCCTGATTAGTTGCAAGTCTGGTTGTTTTTCTCATTTTAATGAGATTCAGTTCTGTCCGAGTGTTTTGAACTGTGAAAACTGTTGACAATCTGCCCGAGTATAGAAGTCCAGTTTCTCTTCACTTCAAGTTGTATTTCAGTTTTCTGATACTTAGCTGAATAGGATAGTGTTTCTGTCTCTTTCTGTTTCTCCTCTATGGGTATATGTTGAAATGTATTGCGTTAGTGTACATTCACTCATTGCTAAGACAATCATCATACCTGTTGAATGGTTCCATAAGTGAGCATTGTGTCTTCTGTAATAGGTTAGAAAAATAATTTAGTTCTTGTTAAGTAAATTGCACCTCAAGCTTCAAGATGGATTTCAAGAAAGATGTGGAAAAATTGGAGATGGTCCAGAGAAGAGCAACAAAAATGACTGAGCTATGAGGGAAGACTGGAAGAATTGGGTTTGTTTAGTTTGGAAAAGAGAATACTGGGGGTATGTCTAGAAGATGGGTTTTTTTCAAAAGGAGAGGTGCAAATCAGTGCTAATTTGCATATATTCTTCCAATCGCTTTTTCAAAAGCAGGTTTTTCAAAAGTGAAAGTAATTTGGATGTGGGTTTTTTGGGGAAAAAAAAAAACCTTTTTTGGAAAACCGCGTAAACCTCCTTTTTTTAGGAAGAGCGTTTTTTTCAAAAAAGGGTTTTTTTTCCGAAAAAAGTGTCCAGACTACTTTCATTTTTGAAAAACCCGCTTTTGAAAAGTGATTGGAAGAAGATATGCAAATTCGTGCCGAATTTGCATATCGCCTTTCAAAAAAACAACAACTGTAGTCTAGACATACTCTGAGAGGAGACGTAACCGCTTTCAGGTACCTAAAAGGGTATTGCGAGGAGGAGGGAAAAAATTGTCCTCCTTGAACTCTGATGATAGAACAAGAAGCAACGGGACTGGATTTGATGACCTCTCGAACTCCCTTCCAGTTCTAGTGTCCTGTGATTCAAGATATACTAGCTTTCGTTTCTTGTATTCTGGCACTACTTCAGGAAAATTGCAGCTGTGTGTATACCAGAGATATCTGACGGGTGCTCACGACCTAGGTAGGTCAGATCTTGGCACATTGGGGGTATGCATGAATGTGAATGTGCACCTTTCCCTCATTGTACAGAGTGGAAAACAAAGGCACAAGCATACTGAGTCTCTCAAGAGCAGAGAGTTGCTGTCAGGCCTGGATCTAAGGTGCTCAAAACACTAAACTAAACCTTGTTGCCTTTGGTTAAATGTTCCCATGCAAAGGAATCAAATCAGAGCATTTCCTTGGTCCTCCTTTTAAGCAGTCTATTAAGGGTTCTTGTACGTGAGACATAAATAGCACTTACATTTCCGTGTGTTCCTCTTACGCTTCAGTAGTAGCTTTAACGTGATGCTTTCCAGTCACATTTTCCATGATAGTCACTTAGAAAAGCAGAAGAACCTTTCTAACTGCCTTAGCTCCTGCACTGTAGCAATGGCATATCAGTGGGTACCTGCTCCCTTTCCTTTGTCATTTTATTATTTTTCCTCTCTTGCCATGTATTTTAATGTCTTCTGTGACACTAGATATGTAAATTAATTCACAGTGGTTTGGAACAAGCGAAAATCTGAAATGTACGGTCTGTTTTACTCCTCTTGGAGAAAAGCTACAAGTGACTAATGAGTCCTTTGATCATCTGGATGATATTTATACATATTTTGTTCTTCATCAGCTGAAAATGTATTAGTCATATTCGAACCCTGCAGTTGCTTAATCATAGTGATGAGAGCAAAAAATGTGGAGTTATCTTTGCAAATATCAGTTTAAATCCTGTATTTAAAGGTTTAGCGGGGATGGAATTGTGTGCATTGGTTAGAACATTCATGGTTCCCTCATGAATGCCTCTTTCATCTTGTCCCTTTTTCAGCATTTTAAAGCTTGTTTTTATCCTGTCTATATAGATTGCATGCTACTGTGGTGGTCTCCCTTCTGTATCAGTCTGTTCATAAATATTATAGGATTGTCTTTCACAGGTGATGATTACAGCCTTCTGGCTTTGTAGCTCACAGTGGTGGTGTCTCTCAAGGGAACCTGCCTTAAAAAGAGGAGAATTCTCAGCTTGCACTAATTGCAATCTGAAGCCATTATCTTTGTTGCGATCCAAAGTTCTCTGCACATCTAATCTGGGATTGCATTTACCTTTTGGGTTATGTTGATGGGAGATGCATTGGCAATTGGAGGCCCTGGTGTTCCATTCTTTGTCCTAGACTTTGATGGCATTTTTTTTAAAGAGGCCTAAACGTATTTAATTTTTGCTGGTCATCTTCTACGTCTTAAGCTTGCAGCTTGAAACCTGAAGAGCAGATGAGAAAAAATGTACATTCAGGGAGCTAAAACTATACATAGGAATGGTATATTTAAATGCAGTCCTTTTTCTGTTGCCCTTCTCTCCATTACTGTTCTTTGTGCAAAATTACACCCGTGTAGCATGGAAGAGAGCAGATAATTTTCAGGGGACTGTGATCAGATGGGAGGGATTATGGATGATGAGAGAATTTAATAAGCTCAGAGCTGGACTGAAAACCTCTAACACCACTATTAGGGGCAATAATAATTTGACAGATTAAGAGAACTGATCGGTATCTGTGCCTGGCTTCCCCAAACAGAATCCATCTGTTTTCCACCATTGAGTAACTTGGAAGAGTTCTTGGGTAAAAACCAATTAAAGATCAAAATGTATTGACCTTGTTTTGATTTATACTTTGTATTTTAGTCCCACCACGCAATTTGATGATTGATATCCAGAAAGAAACGGCCGTGGAAGGAGAAGAGATTGAGCTGAACTGCACTGCCATGGCCAGCCGACCAGCCACCGCAATCAGATGGTTCAAAGGGAACAAAGAGCTAATCGGTAGATGTATCTTCTAAACCAGCACAGATTTATAGATAACTGAAGTGGTTAAATTACACCATCCCAATGTAACAGTGTGGTGACAGAGACTGGACATACTTGTTTAAAAAAAATAGATCCAGCTGTTTCAGATGCCATGTCAATGGGGAAATATATGGGCAGATTTAAATGCCAAATGCATCTTAAGAGTAAAGCACTACCACCCATTCCGTCAGTGTAGACATAGCCTAACAATAGCACTATTTCGGGATACCTCCTGCTATTCCACGTCTTTTGAGCGCACCTGTTACTTCAAAATATAACGGGCTTGCTATTTCGACGTCCCTGTAAACCTCCTTCCATGAGGAGTAAGGGACGTTTTGGAATAGCAATTTATTTCAAAAGAAGTGCTGTGTAGACAGCGCCAAATTTCTAAATAAGCTGTTTTGAAATAAGAGACACAAATTACATCTCTTATTTCGACCTATGGTGCCATGTGGACGCACCTAAGTTATCTTCCTGAGCCTATGTTCAGAGTTCTGGATTGACTCTTCACCTGCTGATGACCTGAATGATCCCTTAAGGTGTGCAGGGAAGTAGCTCTTGCCCCTGATTTAGAGGTCAATATGATAGATAGACCTCTATCAGGGATGGTCTACATGGTACTTGGTCCTGCCACGAGGATAGGGGACTGGACTTGATGACCTCTCAAGGTCCCTTCCAGTTCCAGTGCTCTATGATTCAATGATGGCACTGACCATAAAGTTTTTTCAGTTCCTTGCTCAATTGTTCATATGGGATTGTACAGATGGTCACATACAAATAAGTGTCTTCTATTCTGTAAAGTCTAGTGCTCATGGAATTTGTTCAGATAAATCACCAACACTGATTGCATATGATGTCTGTTTTAAGTCTGCATGCATGTGATATCCCCTCTATTTTTGCCCATCTCGTTGGCGAGTGATGTCTTGCAGAAGTCAGAGCCCTTCAAAATCTAACCCCGCTGCAAGGAAGAATAAAATCCTCCGGTTAGAGGACATTGATCCCTGCCCTCCTATAAGCATCTTTAGCACAATGACACATACTGAACTGATGGTGGTAATAGTGGAAGGGCAAGCTGTGCCACATATAGCTTCCCACAAAGCCAGCTGCTTTTTGGCATCTGTCGTCATCAAAATGATGCATGGATCCTCCTAGGTTTCTTTTGCTTTTGGTAGGGCCCCGCACACTGGTATTTGACCACTTGTACTTGACCTGTCCATCTCCTTTATTAGGCTTTCTCACTTCAGCAATTGAATTCCAACCGTCCTAGATCTTTGAAGACTGCTGAGCAAGTAGTCGCTTCTTGAAATACCAGATCACCCTGCTGATCCTTTGGCGCTGCGGGGTTTTCAAAAACAGAAACAGAGACACTGAAATAGTTTCCTTTGTTCTTGATTTTACATCGACTGAAGATGGAAAGAAAACAAGAGTCCTCTTTTGGTTCTGCAGTCTTTCCTCTAACCCTTACAGGTTGTGTTAACAGTTACCTGTTTTTGATAGAGCAGGACACTGTTTCTTGTAAGTTTCCCTCTTCCCCATTTTATCTCCATGATATGAACCATCAAAAAGTGGAATTTAGCTCATTTAAAAGCAGCCGTGGTTTCTGTTCAGCAAGCAGGCGCTGAGTATGGAAAACCCTGTTAGCTTCTTCATTTAGTCCTGAGTCTCTTCTTCCTTGTTCTGTATTCTGGCACATCTAACCCTGCAATACACTTTGTTCCAACCCACTGCTATGGTATTTTCAATGGAGCTTCAACAGTGCCACTGTTCAAATATTTTAATTACTGTTTTTAATTATGTTAATCCATTTACTCTCTTTCCCGCCTAATAGCTGATGATGGGTTTTCATCGCCATAGCATCTGAATTCCAGGATGCTTTCCAAGGTCTTAAATCAGTGGAGCTGTAAGCATCCTGGAATTTTTAATCCTTATGGCAGTGCACTGTCTATTGCAAGTTTTAGTGACTTCGGTAGAAAGGATTTTGTTACCTGTGCCTACACCTCCCTGCCCTTAGAGTTCAGGTGCTAGAGAGATGAACGTTGGAAATGTAAGGGCACGTATGTCCCCGGCACCACTTTTTTGTGTACCAGAGTGACACAAGCAAACGGGATGAAGTTTAATAAAGACAAATGCAAAGTGCTCCACTTAGGAAGGATCAATCAGTTTCACACATATAGAATGGGAAGTGACTGTCTAGGAAGGAGTACTGCAGAAAGGGATCTAGGGGTCATAGTGAACCACAAGCTAAACATTAGTCAACAGTGTGACACTGTTGCAAAAAAAGCAAACATCATTCTGGGATGCATTAACAAGAGTGTTGTGAGCAAGACATGAGAAGTCATTCTTCCGTACTACTCTGCTCTGATTAGGCCTCAATTGGAGTATTGTGTCCAGTTCTGGGCACCATATTTCAAGAAAGATGTGGAGAAATTGGAGAAGGTCCAGAGAAGAGCAACAAGAATGATTAAAGGTCTAGAGAACATGAGCTATGAGGGAAGACTGAAAGAATTGGGCTTGTTTAGTTTAGAAAAGAGAAAACTGAGAAAGGACATGATACTGGTTTTCAGGTATTCAAAAGAATGTTATAAGGAGGAGGGAGAAAAAATGTTGTCCTTGGCCTCTGATGATAGGACAAGAAGCAATGGGCTTAAATTGCAGCAAGGGAGGTTTAGGTTGGACATTAGGAAAAACTTGCTAACTGTCAGGGTGGTTAAACACTGGAACAAATTGTCTAAGGGGGTTTTGGAATCTCCATCTCCGGAGATATTTAAGAGCAGGTTGGACAGACACCTGTCAGGGATGGTCTAGATGGTGCTGTCCTGCCATGAGGGCAGGGGACTGGACGTGATGACCTCTTGAGGTCCCTTCCAGTTCTAGTGTTCTAGGATTCTATGAAGCAAGATGGCAACAGGGTGAGGTGTCCCATGGTTACTCTGTGCTCTCTGCCTTATCTACGTGGCAGGCAAAACTGAAGTGGAGAAGTGGTCTGATATGTTCACTGTGACGAGCCAGCTTATGCTAACAGTGGGGCGCGAGGATGATGGAGTCCCAGTCATCTGTCTGGTAGATCACCCAGCTGTCAAAGACTTACAGACCCAGCGCTACCTAGAAGTAATGTGTGAGTACCAAAGCTTTCTATTCTTCTAACGTAGACTGTGCCTCATTTAAAAAGACATTAGAAACCATTAATTATGTAATTAGATTTTATTACAGGGTAGATCGGGGGTTTGTAAATGTAGAAATCAAAGTATTGAGTATTGTTTAATGGATTAAACAATGACTTCTTGCAGTTTTGCTGTGATGCCAAATTCCTAGTTTTATTCTCTCCACATAAATTAAGTTATTCTGGCTAGATTTAGCATCTCGAGGGGTTAATAGCTAGTCCTTGTAATTATGTCACAGCCGATTAATTTTAATTTTAAATCCTAATTTTTTTTTAACAATGCACGTATTTCTTTAAAAGTTAGCATCACTGCAGAGTTCCATTTAAAGGAACTCACTGCAGTTATCCATTGGAATATGATCTGAGAGACACATGTGGTGATGCAAGAGGGACTTTCATATTGCATATAATGGCAAGTATAGTACAGTAGGTTCTTTTCTGAATTAGAGCTGCAGAAATAAGTTTAAAAATAGTGGAACCTTTTAAGGTAAAGGTCAAGTAAAAGCAGCTTGCTAAAAGCAAGCTAATCTTAGGGCTTAATGCTTCCGACTACAGTGAAGATAAAAACTAGGGGGAACGTTTTTCTCAGTTCTCTGTGAGCTGCCATTTATATGCCTCACGTAAGTGTTGTGAATTGATCAAAAGAAGTAAAGGTTGGGAAATATTTGTGGGGCAATGTATAGTCGAGGTGGCTTATGTTCACATTGGGGATATAGGACACAGTCATGTTAGCATCATTGTTACCAATCAGCAATGCAAACTCATCTGGCAACCAGGTGGAGTCCCCAAGAGAACAGCAGAGCAGTGAAAGGGGAAGACGACTAAAATTTCTTCCGTTCGTAGGTTCATCTCAACCATATCGTTCTATCAAAAAGAGAGGGGAGAGTTGTTAAATTTTTCATCCATTTCATCCTACATTCTGCTTATGCTTTCCATATCCCTGAAACGAGCATGAAGTCCTGTCCCTACAACAGGGAAAACAAAAAAGATCAGATACTATCTAAACTGGCAGATACTAGATTTCTTGTGACTGTGCTAATGTGTAATTCATTTATGCAAACTTAATGTCCATTAACATTTCTTGTAGAGCTCCATTAGCTTTAATAATACATTAGCACCTTTGTGAGGCTTGATCAAATACTTAACGGGGGGAAAAATCCCATCTCTCTGATTACAGAGGAAAATTGAAATCTTTTTTTTTTAACTTGTTTATAAGGAAGTCAGATTTAGGAATTTAAGGCTTCCCTGTGGATATTTCCTTGTAAGGGCTATCTTTTGGTGCAATAGAAACAAATAGCCTTTTTTAACAATGTGGCTACGTCTAGACTGGCATGATTTTCCGGAAATGCTTTTAACGGAAAAGTTTTCTGTTAAAAGCATTTTCGGAACAGAGCATCTAGATTGGCACGGACACTTTTCTGCAAAAGCACTTTTTGCGGAAAAGCGGCCGTGGCCAATCTAGACACGCTTTTGTGCAAAAAAGCCCAGATCGCCATTTTCGCGATCGGGGCTTTTTTGCGCAAAACAAATCTCAGCTGTCTACACTGGCCCTTTTGCGCAAAACGGGAGCAGCATAGTATTTCCGCAAAAAGCACTGATTTCTTACAGTAGGAAGTCAGTGCTTTTGCGGAAATTCAAGCAGCCAGTGTAGACAGCTGGCAAGTTTTTCCAGAAAAGCGGCTGATCTTCCGGAAAAACTGGCCAGTCTAGACACAGCCTGTGTGCAATAGGGATCCTTCTGCTCTCTTATATGAAAGAGAAAATAAATCTTTTTTTCTGAATCCTTTTGGTTGCAGCTTGTGATGGGCACCACACTGAAGGATGGCAAAGTTCATTTAAACTTATGGCTATCTGAAGGCTTTGGGGGATCTTCAAATAAAGCGCCATGTTTATTTTACCTGTTGCAAGAGGCATTCTTTTTTGCTTATCACTAATTTTAGGCCTGCCTTTGGGTGCCTTTTGGGGAAAGAGGTGTTACTCAGTGCTCACTACTTACCTGGGCTGGAATGCATTTAATGTGGAGCTTTATGCGGGGGAAAAGGGAATGTGAGATGGTCTTATTGACTGGTGTGTTTTTCTTTACATTTACCCCATCGATAGGTTTCAGCGCACTCCTGGTGTTTCGGGCTGGGGGTGGGGGGGGGTTGTTTTCCATAACACGACAGTTCCTGGCCTTTTTCCTGAACCTGTTGTAGTGGCCCGTACGTAGGAATTTCTGGGGGGCGGGTGCTTTTTTTTGTAAATGTGGCCCAGTTTTTTTAAATATAAAGGAGTTCAAAATAGTCATGCAGTGTGTGTGTGTGTGTGTGTGTGTGTGTGTGTGTGTGTGTGTGTTTTAGAGGTTAATGAACATTTTGAGTGGAAACAGTGATTGGTAAAATGATTTTATTTACACACACACACACACACACACACACACATACACTCACTCTGCAGGCCACGGTGATATCACACACATACTCTTTCACACACACACGGTAGTACGAGGGTTAAGGTGACACGCAAAGCCAAGCGAAGGCCCAGCAGGCATGCAGGTTCCTGTTTCCCAGTGACCCCAGGCCTGCAAATTGCCTTATAGGGTTGCCAGATGGTTTCAGAAAAAAATACCAAACCACAACAAGAAAAACCACCGGTGAGTTAGGGTTGCCAGATGGTTTCAACAAAAATACCGGACACACTTGACATGACGTCACAATCTACCTTCCATCTTAGTTAGAAAATACCAGACATTTCTGTTTTCTCAATTTGTTTCCCAAACAGAAAGCTCAAATACTGGACTGTCCGGTTCAAAACCGGACACCTGGCAACCCTAGTGGTGCGGCTTGTTGGCCCTAAGAGGCTGCCGGCAGTCACCCGCCATCTTGCCTCCCTGCACCAGGCCAGGCAGCTCCCTGGTAAGCCATGGAAGTAAGCAAGCTGAAGGCTCTCTAATGGTGGACAGTGACTGGGTTATGCTGAGACCTGGGTCCTTGTGTTACATCTGAATGCATTCAAAAGCCACCAAAGACTCCTCCTATCAAAAGGACTTCCAGTCAGTACCAGCCTTCTTTTGGATCTGACCTGATATCCAAGTTCGATAGCCCCATGCCTATCCCTGGAGCCAGTCTTTGTTTTTGAAAACAGCATAGTCAGAGGATTCACTGCAAACCGAGGAGTGGAGAGAGAGGAATTTGTGGGACCAGCTCTCAGGTAGCACCACGCTAAAGAAATTCTCAGGCAGCTCTGTTTAAAGTAGAAATTGTGTATATAGACCTCGGGAAAAGAAGGGAGCCAGTGTGATCTGACAGAAGTAGGGACCAGAAAATGGGGAATGGCTGAGGCCCCTTGGGATCTGATGTTTGGTTGGGCCGACAGCATTTTTGCAGCCTGCAGGTAACTCTTCTAGCTAGACACCGACCATGCCATAGATCAGGGCTACTCAACTTCGGAAGCCCTGGAGGCCACAACGATACAGCAGATTTGGAGGGCCACAACTTAAGTGTGGTTGCATGTACATGCAAATAGATATGCAAATAGCTTCTTTCACAGTGATGGGAATGAATACAAAGATGAAGGCAAGACGACACAACACGCAGGCTCCATTTAAGTCAGTTCTGCTGATATTCATAAAATACAATCGTTCCCCGATTTCCACCCACCTGAAAGCACTTTTAATGATAATGACTGTCCAGGAATGTAACTACTAAAATGCACATCAACAGAAGACGGTTATATTGACAATTTTAGCTTCACAAGAGTCCAGGAATTTAACTACTAAAACACACATCAACCCAAACCGCACTGTAAACACAAACCGCACCGCAGGCTGCAAACCAACGGGTTGCAGGCCTCATGAGGTCCACGGGCGCCTGTTGAGTAGCCCTGCCGTAGAACTACCTGGGACTGCCTCCTGAGACTTCCATAGCACCATGGGAAGACTTGTCCTGACCCACAGACTGCAGGCTCTGTCTCCTGGGGTACGTCTAGACTACATGGCTCCGTCGACGGAGCCATGTAGATTTGTTGTTTTGGCAAAGGCAAATGAAGCCGCGATTTAAATGATCGCGGCTTCATTTACATTTATATGGCTGCCGCGCTGAGCCGACAAACAGCTGATCAGCTGTTTGTCGGCTCAGCGCGGCAGCCATATAAATGTAAATGAAGCCGCGATCATTTAAATCGCGGCTTCATTTGCCTTTGCCAAAACAACAAATCTACATGGCTCCGTCGACGGAGCCATGTAGATTTGTTGTTTTGGCAAAGGCAAATGAAGCCGCGATTTAAATGATCGCGGCTTCATTTACATTTATATGGCTGCCGCGCTGAGCCGACAAACAGCTGATCAGCTGTTTGTCGGCTCAGCGCGGCAGCCATGTAAATGTAAATGAAACCGTGATCATTTAAATCACGGCTTCATTTGCCTTTGCCTATGTGTCTAATCTACATGCCTCTGCCAACAGAGGCATGTAGTCTAGACACAGCCCTGAGTCTCAATACTCTTGCATGTAGGAAAAAACTACAATCCCATTGTGGCCTTTCTTTAATAGATCAGCTTCACACTCCTTTAGGGTTGCCAGGTGTCCGGTATTTTTACCTCCTGTCCGGTAAAAAAATTAGAAAATACCGGACACCTAAAATATCCGGTACTTTCTGATTTTTTATTTCCCCGTCCAGGAGGCAAAAATCCCAGGCTGTCAGTCTCAATATGGAGGCAGCCTGGCAACCCCACTGCTTACCAGGTTCCACAGGGGAGCTGTCCGGCCTGGCGTAGGGAGGCAAGATAGTGGGCAGCTGCCAGCATCCTGGTAGGGCCAAAAAGCCTCACCACTTGGTTTTTAAAGGGGCCACGGTGGAGGTTTTTGTTTTGCAGGGTTTTTTGCTTAACAACTCTCGGGGTCCTTTTTTTTTTTTTTTTTTCAATGAACTTCTGAAACCATCTGGCAACCCTATGCTAATTCCTTCCAGTGCTGAAGGAC